TGCATGGATCAGAACATGCTGATTCTGCAGCAGCAGAGCGTCAATGTGGAGAGAAGTGTCCTCCCAGCACATAGGAGACACATCGATGCGGGTCTGAGAACAATGCCATGCGCGAAGCAGCCCCTGCTGGAAAGGCGCTCCCTCTAATAAGATGTGGGGATATTTTCACAGAGCCTGGGTGGCTCTGTTACTGAGGGAGAGCAGACATCACATCAGAGTTTATTTCCACCGCAGATAAACAGTGGCTTTGGATGGGAGGAAAGCCTCGTCTCTCCACCTCCTCTCCAGACCACACAGGCAACAGCTGCTCATTCCACTTGTAATCAACTGAAACATTTGCTCCAGTGTCTTCAGGAAAAAATGAAAAACAGTCCGAATAGTCGACTTCTTGCTTTTTTTTTCTGTCTGCCAGTGGAGCCTTTAAAGGTGTGGGAATTCCCCGGTTGTAGTTTGTAGTAATGCAGTGCCTGAGAATGTACATCTCACACTTAAATGCTAACTAATAAGCCACTTTACGGCCATTTAGTGGCTTAGACACGACAATAAAGTTGCATCGTTGTGTTATTGAATTAAATATGTGTTCTGTTGTGTGTGTGTGTGTGTGTGTGTATCACCTCACAGCAAGAGGGTTCTGGGTTCAAGTCCCGGGGGAACCAGGACCTTTCTGTATGGAGTTTGCATGTTCTCCCTGTGTCTGCGTGGGTTTTCTCTGGGTTCTCCGGCTTCTTCCTACCGTCCAAAAACCTGCATGTTAGGTTGATTGGACATTCCAAATTGCCCTTAGGAGTGAGTGTGAGTGTGCATGGTTGTGTGTCTCTGTGTGACTCTGCGATGGACTGGCGAACTGTCCAGGGTTTACCCCGCCTCTCGCCCATTGACCACTGGGATAGGCTCCAGTTCTCCCCACGACCCCATTAGGGAATAAGCGGTAACGATAATGGATGGATATATAAATATATATTTCATCAGTGTGACGGAAAGAGTTAACTGTGGACCTGTGTGAAATTAAGTCTGGTCATGCAAATAGAAGGAGGAGAGTCAGTCAAAAGTTTACATCAAGTATCAACTTTCTTTCAGAGAATGCCAAGTAGAGTTTGCCATTTGCTGGGATGTGTGGAGTTCAGTGCTGGCTAACATTTATGTTACATCCATTATATGCAGTAGCGAGACAGAGATCTCAGACAGCAGTACTGAAAAGATGGATGTTGTCTGAACTAGTGAGTAATGCGTGCTCTTATATTGTAACTACACTGTAATAATATGATAGTAATCGTTCACCTCTTGAATCTGTACATATCCATCTCAGGTATGCATTTATCGCTGTTTTCTGTCATCCTGCCCAGATATGACTTCCATCTCACTAAGTGTTGACCAGAGGTTGGATTTGTCCAGCAGAATATGGGGAGAGCGGTGCCCTCCAGCCGGTGTGTCTGGCTGAGTGCAAATAACTGTGAGGAAGAGGAAATGCCACTCTGAGGAATGTGCAGAATTTGAGTTCCAAAAGAGTAAACTCTAGTAAACAGAGACGCTGGACAGCCAGAGCTGCCCAACATGACCCACAAATAAGACAGCATCACAACCCAATAACATTACCTAACACCACTTTTTAAAAATTCTCTCCACCACC